CAGACAAAAGGCCCCCGTCATGGGGAAACTGGGATGCATAGTCATCTCCCTCATCAGGCAGGGCAGACAAAAATACCCATGACGCCCAAAAGCAAGGCTACCACCTGCAGAAGCAGAAGTAAGTGGCTGGCCCACATTTGAATGAAGTCTCTCTAAAGGCCCTGCCGTCCTCCTGCATCTTAACCCCACCTGCTATGCTCCCTTCACGCATCCCTGGCTGAGACCAACTTCCCCCAAAGCCTATAACAGCCGGGTTTCCAAGCACCGCTGGGGGAGGAACATGGAACAAAAATCCAACAGTGAATTTTACTATTGTTGAGCAGTTTTTTCTGAAGGAATCACCTCAAAGAATGACGTCCAAAACTCATCTTGGTTCTAAGACCCAATTAGGTGCTTTGTGTAATTAGTGAGAATTTTGACTTTTGAACTTGAGATTGAAAGAGGGCCCTTTTCACTTGTCTAAATCCTTCTACTTTTCTTCATACTTCATTAAGGCTAAGAATTAGCATATTCATCAGGTCATTGCTGATGTCCATCATCTGACATAATTGGAAAGTCATCCAGTCACGGGCCAGTGGTCTGTGTTCATCTATTTATTTTCTGTATTTCTAATGCTCTGATATCCAGGGACTTGCTGGCCCTGGACAGATTGCCCATGTCAGAGCTGGCGGATTCCTGGAGATAGTAGGTGACGTGCTTCAGGACAATTTCACCATGCAGAGCACCTGTCCAGTGCCCACAGCCACCGCTTCCTCAGACTCTCACACTCAGACTATCCTCTACCTACCTCGTCACCCCAAGCCATGAAGCAGAAGACAGCCTCTGGGCACCACATCCCATTGGAAACTTCCCATTGGAAACTCCCTAAGTCTCCTTACTCATTCCTCCCAGAAAAAAGCACCCTAAAGGCTCTTGCCTGTTTGCCTCATGTCTTCTTTCTGTCTGATCTGGAGCTTCTCTGTGTGCCCCCTAACTAATGGCTCGATGTGTCCCCTCCTCTTCGGCAGTAGTCACCTCCTGATCAGTCAGCCTCGCTTTACCCAATCAACAATAAAATGTACATTTTAAAATGAGCCATCCAAGCTCTCCTCCTTGCAGACCATCAGCGTGTGGGAAGAGCAATCAGGCACAAAGGCAATGGCAGATCCAGTAGAATTTCATTGCCAAGAACCACAAATAGCCTGCATTCTCCTCAGTGGAGCTCAAATAAAGCAGCACGATGGGACAGTTTGTTAAAAAGACAGCCTGGTACGACTTCCGGGAGAACATGGCGGACAGATAACAGCAACTACCGGAGGCTCTCTGAAAGACTTGGCTCAGAAGCCAGGAATGGTGCGGACTAAGGAGACATAAGCAGGTAGAGATATGCTCTGCTGACTCAGGAACGAACTGGGCTGAGAGAAACCAACTTGGAATGCATTCCTGGTGCTAAAACAGGAACAGAAAAGCCTTGGTGTGGAGGCTGGACCCCGCGCCATTGTAAGCCGCGATTTGGGTTTCCCGCCGCGCAGCAGCTGGCTGCCTCTACAGTGGCTCGGCAAGGAGAGAGACGCACAGAAGCTCTGAGAACAGCAATCTGCGAACGGCAGGGAGGCGTGCACTGACTTGTGGTGAGGTGAGTGAGAGAAACTGACACTCTACCACAGTTTGACTCCAGCGGAGGACTTTCTGGACCCGAGCAGTCCTGTGGGAGCAGGGCGCGGTGGCGATTCCAGCCACACATCCCCCTCTCAGGCGGGATTGGTGAAAAGTGCCTGGCCTGCGAGACGCTGTGGGCGGACTTGGTAGGCTGTCCGAACCCAGATCCCAGAGCCTGACGGTGGCCGGGAGGGGAGACACGTAGGCTGCCTGGTCCATAACTCCCTGGTACGCAGCGGTGAGTGGGAACACCTAACCGGCACAATTCGATCAGGCTGTGGCTGACTGGGAGAGAAGCTGGGCCTCTTATATAAGCTTGCATATATAAGGAACAGAGAAGAAGAGGCAGCATGGGAAGAGGCAGCAACAAGAAAGGCTCCTCGGCCCCCAATTCTGAGAAACAGGCAATAGCAGACACCGCACCAATACACATAAGGCACCATATAGAGAGCCTCATAGACCAGTTCAGGAATGAAGTTATCAATGACCTGAAGCTAGAAGTATGCAGAATAGTTAGAGAAATGCTAAGTACCACCCAAGAAAAAACAGGTGGTGGAATGGAAGAACAGAAAAAAAGGGGAGAATTGTTTGATGGAGAAAACAGAGAAACCATAGAATACATGAAGCAGGTTCAAAGGGACTACCAAGATACTAAGAAGTCTATCGAAGACTGGCATAACACCTTGAAAGAAACTAAGGACAGACTATCTGAACTGGAGGGCAGACTTGTAATATGGGAGAATGAAATGAAAAACTTCTTAAAAATAACAAAGAAACAAACAGCAATAATACAAAGACAAGAAGATGATAAGAGGATCCATAACTTAAGGATTAAGAACATAAAAGAAGAAGTAGGGACACAAACAAGTGAACTACAAAAGCTACTCACAGAAATAATCCAGGAGAATTTTCCTAATTTAGCAAAAGGTAAAGATACTCAGATGTATGAGGCATACAGGACCCCAGCTACCTACAACCCAAACAGAGCAACACCCAGGCATATAATAATAAAAATTCCAGAAATTCAATACAAGAACAGAATATTAAAAGCTGTAAGAGACAAGAAACAGACCACTTACAAGGGAACACCCATCAGAATTACAGCAGATTTCTCGGCACAAACCATCAAATCACGAAGAGCGTGGGGGGAAATAATTCAAGCTTTGAAAGATAATAATCTCCAGCCAAGATTGAGATATCCTGCACAACTCTCCCTGGAAATTGATGGAAAAACAAGGTGCTTCCAGGATAAAGAGGAACTGGGGGAATTTGCAACCACCAATTCAACTCTACAGAGAGTATTGCAGGATATTCTAAAAAAAGAAAAATACAAAGAATCCAGAAATAATGGCAGAGAGGCCACAATGAATGGAGCAGAGAACAAAATGACAGCTGAAGACAAACTGACAGCTACTGACAGAAAAAGAGCTCAACAGAAATGAGGCAGAGAAGATTGGATGATAGGAACAGCTATTTTGGAGAAAATGACATCTTAATAGGTAATACTGATTTAGTATCATCTTGTTTTGAAGTCTCATCTAGCTTTTGTCCTTCTGTCTCCAATGGTCTAAATAGGCTGTATCTTATTGGATTTTATTATGTACGATAGTATAAGCAAAAACCTTTTAAAGACAAGGAGATTATACAGAAACCATTGTTCATTTTCTGTTAGTCGATTCTAAATACTCTGTAATGCTGTCATTCTCTTGAATGGTTTTACATTGTTTTGATATACTTAATGCTACAGTATACGAAGTTGTACTCAAGGATTTCAAAGAAAGAGACAATATGGTAACTACTTTTAGGTTAGGATTATCTGGTGGTGAAACACTATTCTGCTTAAATGGTTATGTTTTGATCTGCGCTGTTTCGTTGTTATGCCCTCTTTTATCTCAATCTCCACTCCATTATTTACTTTTTTATCTTTATCCTTTTAATTAAAGGAAAAAAAATAGCAGGATATATTATAGTAACCCACTTTGACTTTTCATTACCTTGATTTAAAGCCCTGTATTACTCTCACCATCTGGTTTTTAACTGATGTTCCCCTATTCTGTTTTGCTGGATAGTATCAGGTTCGAAAGTTTAGGCATCAGCTGTGAAGATAATGAGATTCATTATGACGCCCATTCTTGTTGACTTTTATCTACTTTTGAAGACCTACAATGTCTCCAATGTTTTGGTTTTGTTGGTTTTATTCTTTACTGTTTTGTTCAATTGTATTATAACTAACGATATAGGCAATTCTATTAGAGATAGCGGGAGGCATTATGGTAACCATTGTTGATCAGCTTGTATTATGTTTTTACATTATCTATTATGTCCACCCTTTTGACTTGACCGATTCTGTTCTGTTATGTCACATTTGGTTATACTCTCTTCCAAAAAAGTAATAAGAACCATGGGAGCAATGAAACCCAAAATGTGTAATAGTCATGGAACAAAAGAGAGGAAAAGAAAGTGCTCCAAACTATATAACTCCATGTATATTTAAATGTATAAGATAGAAAATGATATCACAGGGTTTTATTGGATCAATGAACAGAACTTTTTGCAGTATCATTGATGGAATGTCCACTTTACAAGCTTTAATTTTGTGACTTGAACAATTATTTCTAAGATGACAATATGTAATCCATTAACTAGTGATTTCCTACTGTTCTTTTTTTTCTGTAAATCTGTATAACTTGTACCCTTTCCCTGCTTTTTTTTTCTTTTCTCCTTAAATAAAATTTAAAAAAAAATACAAAAAAAAATATATATATACAAAAAAAAGACAGCCTGGTAGAATATAGCATCATCTGGGCTGGCGACTGAGCAAAGCGACACCCTCCACTTGACTAGGGAAACAAACCCGCCAGCAACCACAAGTAATGATCATAGTGCTTCCTGAGCTCTTGTAACAATCATCGTAGGTGTTTGTCAGCCACCTAAAGTACTTGGCGGGGGGCGGGGGAGGGGGACGGAAATAAGTTAAAAATATACATGTTGAATTCATTTTGACCACTTGCAAAAAAAGAGAACATTTTTAAATAAGCTTTTTAATAGTGAAGATATTAAATGCAGAACAATGGAATATCTTATTAAAAGACATCCCAATAACACTGGCATTGTTTTCCTCCATAACACTCCTGCAAGTAATCTCCAAATGTATTTGTAAGAGTTCTTGTTCATTTCAAAGTTAGGAAACAAATGTGCTTCCCTGCAAGCGAGAGATGTGAATTGAATTCATCCCAAGAATATTGGTCAGTCACGGTGAGGACAAGAATTCCACTTTGCCCACATCAGCCTAACAACGTTTGCCTGGAAGGAATTTGGAAGCCCAGGATTGAATAACAGGCATTTGATTTCTCCCTACTCACCCTTTAGCCAGAGTTGCTATGCCAACATCCGTTAACTTCATTCCTACACCTATGGAGAGAGAGCAGAGATGGCGTCTGAGTTATTTGAGATCTGTCTACTTTGGGGAAGGGGTGAGGACAGCTTGTCATCATATCCCTTCCTCTGTAAACACACTTTCCTCCTGGGTTCCACCCCCAGAGCTGACAGCCGCTCCAAACATGCACCTGCCTGGGGGAAAGGGCAACATTGGGGAGCACAGACCTCGAACGGCAGTGCCAGGGAATCAAGCTGTGCCTGGTTTATTCCACCCCCAGGATAGAGGAAGGAACCAGCTGCTCCATGATGCATTCGAGGCTTGTCACTTTCCTATGTGACAAGGAAGCTCCCCAGGAATGCTCTGCTCAGGGTTAGGTCTGGTCCCCTCTTCCTCACTGAAAGTGGAAATCATTCTACAGTAGGAGTGGGCATGGACTGCAGTGCTCAACGTCAACAGTGAGAAAGTTCAAGCCAAAGTCTTGATATGCAATTTCACATTTCTATGAAGATGGCTTCCCATCAGAGCTTCAGATCCAGGAAAACAGCTCCTGCCATAAATAAAACTTTTAGCCAGTGGTCTTGGGATGCTGGCATTTGGAACTGATGGTGTGACTCCTTGACACTTGTCCTAATCTCTATCTATAGAGCCATGGCTGAGGGGTGGCTACCAGGAGCAAAGCAACAAAACAAGCACTTGTGGTTCCCACTGCAGCTCAGCAGAGCACCACCGATGTCCCTGGTAGAATTCCAAGCACAAGAGTTATTTCACTCCTGCCTTTCAGCAGGGACTGTTGGGAGAATAGGTTTGGAGCCAGGAATGCAAGAGAATGGACATTCTATATCTGCAGCCTTCTTATTATGAGGAGAGCAACAGCATCCTCAGGTTCTGCAGCAAAAAATAGCCACCCTCGATCCCTTTGTCCCCAGCTGTAGCCCACAGCCTTTCTCTGTTGTAGGAGAAGGAAGAGCATCTCTCTGGCCCCTGCGCCCAGGCCTCCATTCTGCTGCTCTCTTCCTACAGTAGTGGATCTGGGGACTGTGCAATCCACCCTTATCACAGGACACTGTATCCACCATGTCACCCCACCAGTGTCTAACCTGCTGGGCACTACGCTCCCTCTTCTTCACTTTTGATTCTAGTCCTACGTGGATTAGGCTGTAAGCAATACAGTCCCTGCCATTGGCAGGTAACCTGGCCGTGGAAAGGTCAGGCAGCCTAGCAACCAATCTGTTCTGTAGAAGAAGGAGCCAGCGTCCCCCCAATGCCAACCATGGTGCTCAGATCTGATGGCAGTCTAATTTTATGGTTCTCCATTCCAGAGGCCCAAGAAAGCAAAGCCTGAAGGGTTAACGCTCAATTCAGCAGTGTCTGCCTACAGCATGGAGAAAATACAGGACATGTTGCTATTCAGACTGGTTAGTCAGACAGAAGCAACGAGCCGGCTTTTCTGTGTGCACCTGTGAGCTAAATTAGACATGGCATTTCGGGGGTGCCAGCGAGCACTTTAAAAGCTTCTTTCACAGTTGGTAACTAATTTATTTCATTCTTTCAAAGCTGCTAACAACTTGAACGTATGTAGAGATGCTTCACATAGCTTTTATTACAAGGTCTATGTTTAAAAAAAAAAGACACCAAATTATAAAAGCCCTCTCTGAACATCATGTTTCATGGAAAGTTGTATTTAAAATGTACAGTTCTAAGCTGCATCAAAGTTCAATTTTTAAAAAGTCATTTGGCAAAAGGTCCTTGAACTTGGAGAATTGCTTTTCCCTGCTTCTCATAATTGCCAGCTGTCGTTTTCAGTTTAGAAAAAGAGAATATAATATTTAAAAAGAAACTTCTCTCTCTTGATTTAATAATTTGTCACCAATTCAAACAAGGTTATTCACAATCACTAAGGGGCCAATAAATTAAATTCTGACAGGCTGCTGTCAAACTGCGTTGAGGATCATAATGATTTACAGGTTGTTTCTGATGCAAAGAAGGAAGCTGGTAATAACAGGCGTCCATCCTCCAGGATTTGAGCTCTTGGGGGTTTTCAATGACATGGCCTTCGACAGCCTCACAGCACTCAGTACTTAGTGCACAGATTTTAATTCGAAATCACAGCCTGACCTTTTATTCCACAAACCTACAGGCCTCCCCACAGTGCTACAAACGAGCCAATGCACCCAGAAACCGGGTAACTTACAGGAGCTCAAGAAAGTGATGATTAAATTTTATGCTTGTTTGTTTGCTTGTTTGTTTTAATCCTAATTCCAGAGTCTCAGTGCAATTATAAAAAGTGAACTCATTGCTTAAAGAATAGATGTGCTACCTCATTCCAGGATGATGAAGACAATAAAAAGAATTTTCTTGGCAGAAGAGAGTAAATAAACACCATTCTGAAATGCTGCATCACCACAAGCCATTTACAGAGAAAAGTAATATTCCACCTCTTCAGTTGTTAACTAGTGCCTAGAAGCAACACTAGCTTGTGTGAGGCTCCGGGGTGTTGTTTTGCTGTGGAGAAAGTACACTTAATTCAAAATTAACTCTGAAGGAGAAAAGATGGGGATCAGCAAGTTTCACAGCCAGAGTCTGAATCGAGAGCTGTCTGTTAAGACCATATTTTTTGTGTTCACATGTGTGGTATTCGAGTCTCTTCGAAGAATGGGCAGATGTGGCTACCTTACATTTCTAAAGCAGCCCCCCTGCAGGACAGTGAAGTCCATATCCTGGTTGGCCTGCAAGGAGACCCTCCAAGGGCTCATGAGGAGGAGGAGGATGGCACACGCTGTGCCCTTCTAATGTCCAGAGACACTGAGAAAGGTTGGAGGTTCATCTTTTGCCAATTTGTTAACTTGTGGTTTAGGGGGAAAAGCTTAAGATGCAGCGTCAGAAAATATAGCTTTGAGTCTTAAACCTCTTTTCCTTACTAGCTGAGTGATAGCAAATTAAAACACTGCCCTCTGGTCCTCAGTTTTCTCATCTGCAAAATGGGCTAATATTATCTTTGCAGTGTTATTATGAAGATTCAATAGAAAAAATGAGTACAGATGAAAACTAAGTAGTCTATAGTACAGTTAATTATGCTGTGCCAGTGTTAAGCTCTTAGTTTTGCTGATGGGCTATAGTTATGTGAGATTAGCTATCAAATCTGGGTGAACTTCTCTGTATATTTTTGTAAATTTTATGTCTGTAATTACTTCAGAGTAGGGAACATTTTATTATGTGGCATTGCTGCATTTTACTGTCCATTTAATCCTCATACCAACTCTGTGCCCAAAGTACTGAAGCACACAGACCTGAGAGTCATTCACCCAAAGGGGACCCCTAAGAAGTGGCGGGGCAGTCTTGTCCCTCCACACCTTTCCATAGCCAAGGCTTAGCATCCTTGTGTGTCAACAGCATTTCTTTGCCCAAAGACTTCCTCTGCTCATGCTTTGTCCAGCTCAGCTTGCCCATAGAGCTGAAGACAAGTGTGGGGAGTCAAAGCCCCCCTCATAAGCAGCCCATCATAAACACCTGCAAGCTGGGGCAGGCACCCCAACTCCCTCACTCCATGGGAGGTGACTCTGGGAAATGGGCTGTACATACGTGCCAGCAGAGTAAGCTCCACTGCCCACATCAGGAACTGGGTAGGCATTCGTGTCCCCAGTGGGCTGCCTGCTCTTCTTTAGCTGTGCTCCTTCCTTGCCTCTATTTCCTGGGATCCCCTCCTCAATGAGCTATTTGTTCCTTCCTACAGTGGTCTTCTGGCCCTCCATCCCCAACTATGGGTTCTGCATCCTCAGCTTTGACCAAAATATTAACAAAAATTGTGCATGTGTTGAACATATACAGATTAATTTTGTCATCATCCCTTAAATAATATAATACACTGTAACAACTGTTTGTATCGCATTTACACTGTATGAGGTATTACAAGTAATCTACAAATGATTCAAAGGATTTTTGCAAATTACATGCACATACTACAAGAAACCTTAAATAAAAGAAACTTGAGCACCCAAGGATTTGGAAAACCAATCCCTTGTGGATACCAAGTGATAACTATAGTTATCTCAGGAATATCCCAGTGGAACCCTAATTATGATAATCTCTCTTCACGCAAGAAGTGGTTTTACTAAAAAAAAAACTGTGTGCACACTGAAAGCATGCTACAAATTCATCAGAGAAGCTTAAAACCTAGAGCATTCTAAAGACCCTCTCACGTACTGAGAATGAAATACGATTTATTTTTTGATAATCTGGATTCTCATATGTGCTTCAGAGTTTGCGCCTTGAGGCTAGAACAACAGAGCTGCTCCCTGGTTACTTTTCATGATGAGAAGGGATTACTGGCATGATGGTTAAAATGCACTTTACTATTGCGTTTGGCTGGTCCTTGCAGGTTCCCTTGCCAAGCTTGTTTCTGATGAGACACTAAGAGTACCTTCCTCAGGTAAAGGTGCTCTAAGTCATCCAGCAGACCTCTCCTTCTCCTCCCCTCCTTTCCTTTCTCTCCTCCCCTAGGAATCCCCCACACCCACAGGGTCCCTGCAGCCCAGGACCAGCTGTTCTCACCCTGCATGTCTGTGACCAGGAGACAGCCACTGGTTTTCTGGTATACCCAGTGCTGAAAGGTACAACATTTCTGACCAGCCTCTGATTCTCTTCTCAAGAAGTTTATTTCTTTCCCATCTCTGATGGAATACTTCACAAATTCTCCAATCAGCTCCTCTTCCACTGTTGCATAGGGGATGTTGTTCTCAGGCCGATGGATAAGAAAAATAGGAATGATCCTGGCAAGGAGGGAACACAGGCACACGTCAAGTTCTCAAATATGAAGAAAAGTTTCAGGGGCATTCTGTCTTCATCTTCAATACCAATACTTGGGTTCTTGAATTCTATTAGTTTTTTTTATCGCTGCTGCTGCTGCTGCTGGTGTGTGTGTGTGTGTGTGTGTGTGTGTGTGTGTGTGTGTGTTGTGTATTTTTACCACATTTGAGATTAAACCTCAGGCCCTATCCATGCTTACACAAGCACCCTGAGCTATACCTTCAGCCCATCCACTAGATTTAAGACTAAAAATTCCCCCAATCATTATTTAAGGAATAAGATGCATTTCTGGTTTTACTTGTTTCCATAGTTGGTTAGTATTTCCTCCTTGGGATTAATTCCATTTGTCTGTGAATGAATGTCTTAATTATAGTCATGTGCTAATTACCCATTGACCAATGACTATAAACCATCCATGTGTCCACAGTTTCCCATGCCCCCACTCATCCTCCTTCCCTTTTCATCCACCTATTCATCTGTTCATTTTTCTTTCATTCATCAAATGTTCATGCACTAGCCTGTAAAGGTCAAATATTTTTCCACAAACAGCAGTAAAGAAAATAGGTACTTGGTCTCCTACGTTTAAAGGAAGGAGACAGAAATAAGCAAGTACATGCACTGTGCTGTGTGCTCTGCTCCGTGGGAATATAAAGTGGGGAGAGAAGCTTAGTAGCACAAGGTGGGAAAGGGCTGCCTTTATTTAAGGAGGTCAGAGAAGTCTTTGCTAATTAGTAAAGACAAATAAGCAGAAACCTTTAGGAAGGAAGAAGAAAGTCTTGAGAATATCTAAGGCAAGAACATTCCAGGAGGAAGAAAAAGCAAATGTTAAGGACTCTGGGCTGTAAAGCATTCTTTCTGATTAGTATTAAAGCTCTGTGTGTCTTATTAAGGAAATTTCAAGTAACGGTTAGAAGGAATTCAGCAAATTAGGGGCAGTGGCTCTGCTCCATATCCCTAAAATCAGCCTGGTCTCAACATTTTTGTAGGGTTTGGGGAATCCTCTGAGGACCCCATCTGGTCAACGGCCCTGCCATCAAGCGGTTCACAGTCTGTGTGGGTTGTTAATTCTGCAGCCTTTGTGGGGAAGAAACCTCAGAAGCAAGGGCTGGGCATTATTCAGGTTCTTAATTAGCCTGGTCTCTCTGCCCAGTGGGATGCTATTTGCATAGACAATGTGACTCTATTGGTATTCATGAATTCAAAAACAGAAGCTACAGGATGGGGAGAGTTTTCTCTGCTTCATTGTCTGAAAGTAAACATGGGGGTGGCAGAGGGGTCCTGAGCTTCTCAGGGCCTGTTCTCTCTCTCTATAGGGCAACTGTGCCTCGGCGGTACGGTTTAGAGAAGGGTGGAAATGTGCGAGGCCTGATCTGTGTGTGTGTGTGTGTGTGTGTGTGTGTGTGCACACGTGTGTAAGCACACTCCCTCTGTAGTGTGGAATCTTCTGAGTTAGATTTTCTGAACATGAAGTCTGGCCCCAATGTCCTTCTGCAACACCAACCCCTCCATATATTGTGATCATTCATCTGGTCACAAATCCTCCCTTTGTAAGGAAGGAAAAGTGGTTGTTTCAATAGAAAAAATGTCAGTATCTATCTTTAGGGCAGTGACCTCTTTCCTGTGGAAGCCCTTTAAGCTGTTACCTCCAACTTGCCTGGTTCCTTTACAAGTCCCTGGGTTATATTGTGCTTTTGTGTTTTTATTTAAGAGGATCCCCATAAGAGTCACCTCTGAAGGATCTCAGAGGTAGGAATTATGTTCCTGATCACTCCATCCACACTTCTCTACATACCACCATATTTTATTTTCATCACACAGATTGTATTGGGAGAGTCTCTTACTGTCCTATAATTATTGTTTAGACAATGTAATATCCATAAAAGTAGACACTTTTCTATTTAGCAAGCAGAGACAGTTATTGAATGAATTAATCCATTCATGACCCATCCATCCACATATACATTTATTCATAGAGTATTCATCAGGAAACTCTCTGTGTGTCTTTGGAGGACAAACAAAAACCAGACAGCAGCCAGGTGAGCCCTCATGCAGCTTACAGAGAAACTAAATAAAACACTCCACCTAGAGGCCCTTCTCACCCTGTCACTCGCCCAGCCCAGGTCTTTTATATTCCAACAAGTCAGACTTGGTAATACATGACAGACAGAAACACTTACTCTGGTACTTCTCCAAAGCCTTCCAGGGGCTGTACTTCAGCTGCATAGATCTTGGCATAGTGTCTGGCAGTATTTTGAACATAGCATTCCTATAGCACCCAAATATAAGAGAAAAGCAAGTGGTTAGAAGAATTCAGAGTATTGCCCAATAAGGCTATTTAGAAGATTATCCAATACAGATCAAGCCAAGCCAATGGATTCCCAGGGCCATTCCTTGGTTGAAGTCACAGAAGCAACAGTGTTTTCCTTTGCAGTAGTAAGGAATCAAACCCAGGGCCTTGTGCATGCTGGGCAAATACTCTACCACGGAGGTACACCTCCGGCTCCTAAAGCCACAATTATGGCAACCTAGAGTTGGCCAACTATGGAGGAGCTCTGAGATGTGAAGACTATCCGGGCCATCAAGCAGTCTGTGAGCTCAGATGTCCCTGGACTACAGATATTCCATGTTTAATGACTTGAGTTACATTCCTGTGACTAGTGGTTAAATTGATTGGTCACTAAGTGAGGAATTTTATATAGTTATGTACATTACAACATTCAGAACAAAGAAATGGTCAAAAGAAACTGCAACATCATGACTATTACTGGCATGACTCTTACAGGTAGCACTGTAATATATAATAGAATATAAAACTGAAGTACTGTACTATATAGTATAATAAGAAAAAATTAAAGTACTGTACTATAGAAAACGTCACCATAAAGCTGTACTGCTGCTTACATTAAGAATGCAGGTCACTGTACTGTTATATTGTTATGTCCTATTTTATCTCAATCTCTCCCTTATTCATTAAAAAATTATTTAGTTATTTCTTATGTTTGTTTTAATTAAGGGGAAAAATTTAAAAAATTAGCAGGATATATAATAGTAACTCTTTTTGATTTCCTATTAACTTGTTTTGAAGTCCTGTAATACTCCCACGATCTTGTTTTGACTGATTAGACTCTGTTCCATTCTGTATGATAGTATCAAGTTTGAGGGTATAGGCAACTACTTTGTAGGCAATAAGTTCACTAAGATGCCCATTCTGGTTTGACTATTGTCTCCTTTGGAAGTCCTGAAATGTTTACAATGCCTAAGTTTTATTGGTCTTGTTCTCTACCGTTTTGTCCAACTTTATAATATCTAATGAGATAGACAATTCTTTTTAAGGAAACAAGAGACAGCGTTGATAACCATTGTTGATAACCTTGTACTCTGTTCTATACCATGTGCTATGTCTATCCTTGGTTTTGACTGACAGCTTTGTTTTGCCATATTTGACTTTATTCTCTCCCCCCACCAAAAAAGTAATAAGAACTAAGGAGTAATAAAATCCAAAATGTGTAAATTTTGTTGTAAAAAAGAGAGGGGGAAAAAAAAAGAGCTCTAATGGATATAACAGCAAGTGTGTTTAGGGGTGTTAAATAGCTGACTATATTAATGTTTTTGGATCATTGAACACAGCTGTTTGCAGTCTCTCTGTTTGAATGTCCACTTTGTATTCTTTGATACTGTGATTTGAGCAACTATTTCTAAGATGATAATATGTAATCTATTAACAGGTGATTTCTTACTTTTTTTTTTTTTTTGTAGTTCTGTATTACGTGTACCCTTACACCGCTTTGTTTTGTTTTGTGTTTTTCTCTTTTTCCTCTTAAATAAAATTAAAAAAAAAAAAAAGAATGCAAGTCATGAATCCAAGGAGCAGATAATAAGTCCAAACAGCGTGCTTTGATCCTAAGTTCAAACAGTTGTTAAACAGGTAGGCATTAAACAAGGAATATCTGTGTACCGTTTCTACAACTAGCACGGAGCCCTCCTAGATTTCCTGTGAGGTCTCTCACTTTGGTTCCATTTCAAAGACAAATTGAATAGAAAATAACAAACAACTTTGCAAAGGTACTTAGTTTACAGAAAGTTCTTGCTGTATGGGGCCTTTCTGTGTGGGAATATAGATTCCAAGAGACTTTTTGTTTTGTTTTGTTTTTGTTTTTTGAGGCAAGATCTAGGCTGACCTTGAGTTCATTAGATAGCCCAGGCTGGCCTCAAACTCACAGCAATTCTCCTGCCTCTGCCTCCCAAGTGCTAAGCTTACAGCTGTGTGCCACCACACCTGGCTTCAAGAGATTATTTTTATGACTGGATCTCATCTGAGATGGAAAGTAGACTTGGTGACAGAAAAGAGAGGGGTAGGTTTAGAGAACAATGGAATGTAATGAAGTCTAATCCTTCCTCGGAGAAAAGGGGCTGCTCTTATCAGCACATGGTCCCACTTGACGTCCCCATGCCTGGCAGAATCAGGGACTTAGTGCCTGATGGTACCCCAGAGATTCACTTAAGTTCAACCTACTAATTTTATAGATAAAAATTAGAAAAGGGCACGTAGTTTGCAAATTAGACTCTCCTGGCAGCTAAACCAGTGCTAGAATCAACCATGTGATCAGGAGGAAGGGGAGACGGAGAAAAATAAAATCTTTTTCCTCTCTTCCTCTCTCTTCTTGTCCCCTCCCAACATCTCCTCTCCCCTCTGTCTTCATATTCTGTGATTAAGTAAGAGAGGTGAGAACTTAGCTAGAGACTGGGGTCAATCGCTCATCATGTTTTAAGAGTACTGTTAAACTAAAATGAGAAAAACAGGAAACAGATCCGTGCTGACCCTTCTGAGTATACTCACTGCACTGTCCCCTCTGTAAATATCAAAGAAAACACTCAACAATTTAGTGCTGATTTTATCTGTTATTGGTGATCCTGGCAGATCCTGGCATCCTAAGATCTGTCACTTAGAACCTTTATCATCCTACATCTAAGTAGCTTCAAACCCTAGGGCATTTCTTCAGATTTCCCAAGGAGAGAAATGAGCACACCCCATGTTCAAACTGCTGAGGTGTCTCCAAGGCTTTGGCTGAGTTACAACAGGTTGGCATGAGGCCAACAAATGAATCTTGAGGACTTAAAAGTGACTCCCAGAATTCAGCCTGAACCCACACCCCAAATGAAGAAAATCAGCCTTTTGGAGACACATCCCTTTCAACCCGAGTCTGATCTGTACTTCATATTACTGTGGGTGACACACCCACAGTATGCCTTGGAGCAGACAGACCCACCTGGGCTGCAAGCTTGTAGTTCCTTTGGATGAGCTCATCATTATTTCTGGTCCCATAGGCTACAGCATTGTGCACCTTGAGCACACAGGCGTGGCCGGGCTGGAAGACGGGTGTGAGGCCCCGCATCACTGTGCTGCGAAAGGCCTTGCGGTGTACGCCTTCCCCAAAGTGCAGCTCCTCTGTGGCAATCTGGCCACGCAGGTGGCCCCCAAAGTAGCTGTCATTGAGGAAGTCCTCTCTGAAGATGAGCTGGCTGAATTCAATCTCTTCGCATCCTAAAACATAGTACAGCCACGGTTGAACAGAATATTTCTCAGTCCTGATCCTTGGTGCACTGGTGTCCTCATGTAAGGACAAGGTCAAAACTGACCTGCAGAACTAACAGGGAGAAACTTAACACCCAGCAAATACACAGCAGAAGAAATGGGCCAGGGAAGTAATGAGAGAAGAGCAGACTAAAGTCCTAGTAGGTCTCTCACAAGCAGGATCAGGCGAAAACTGATCAGAATATCAGAGAAAAACTGTGGACACTGGGAAAAAATATTAGACCTGAAAAATAAGAGCAAAACCATGCAGAATAACTAGGAGCAAGGGGGAGGATGGGTAAAATACAGACAAAAGACCACAGAACTGATCTGATAATGTCTTTTTTTTTTGGTATCAGGGATTGAACTCACAAGCTTACACTTGCCAAACAGGCTCTTATACCAATGAGCCAAACCCCTGGACCTATAACATCATTTTCTCTGTGTGTGCAACTCTCTATACTAAAAACAATTTAGTTGCATATTTTTCATAGGTGAATATTGTTCCAATTTTACTTTTTAAAAAACTAATTCTAGAGAAGTTTGGCTGGTCCAGAGGGGAGGCTACGTAAAGTAATACAGTAGCTCAGGCCACAGCAGCTTGACTGATCTGGAGAGGAGGGGCCGGCATATGCTGTACCTGTCTGCAACTCACTAGCACACTGCAGTGGGAAGGGTCATCTAGCCAGCGTGCTTCAGAAGAATTGCTAACAACAAAGAAAGAAACTGGGGCCTCCTGGAAGAAGCAAAAAGATGGGAAGAGGAAGCAACAACAAAAAGTCCCCAGGTCCCAATCCTGAGAACATTGACCCAGGACAGGTAAATACAAAGGAGAATGAGAACAGCAAACATGCAATATCAGACACAGCGCCAGTGGACATAAAGAGATATATTCGGGACCTCATAGATGAGTTCAAAACTGAAATATTTAGTCAAATAAAGCAAGATATAAGAAGATTAATAAAAAGAAATACTAAGCACCCCTAAGTAGACACAGACAGAAGAAGAGAGGAACTCAAAGGAGAGAACCATTTGGTGAAGAATATAGAAAAAATATAGAATACATAAAGCAGATTCAAAGAGATCACCAGTAAATTAAAAACTCTATGGACTATAGTATATGAAGTTATATTAAAATATTTCAAGGAAAAAGACAGACACTATGGTAACTACTATTAAATCGGGTTATTTGGTGGTGAAGCACTAGGTTGCTGAAACTGTCATGCTTTGACCTGTATTGTTATGTTGTTATGTCCTCTTTTATCTCAATCTCTCCCTTATTCATTAAAAAATTATTTAATTATTTTTTATGTTTTTTTTAATTAAGGGAAAAAATTTAAAAAATTAGCAGGATATATTATAGTAACTTTTTTTGACTTCCTATTAACTTGTTTTGAAGTCCTATAATACTCCCACTATCTTGTTTTGACTGATTAGACTCTGTTCCATTCTGTATGATAGTATCAAGTTTGGGGGTACAGGCAACTACTTTGAAGGCAAATAAGATTCACTAAGATGCCCATTCTGGTTTGACTATTATCTCCTTTGGAAGTCCTATAATGTTTACAATGTTCAAGTTTTATTGGTCTTGTTCTCTATTGTTTTGTTCAACTTTATAATACCTAATGAGATAGACAATTCTTTTTAAGGAAACAAGAGACATTATGGTAACCATTGTTGATAACCTTGTACTCTGTTCTTACATCATGTACTATGTCTATCCTTGGTTTTGACTGACAGCTTTGTTTTGCCATATTTGACTTTATTCTCTTCCAAAAAAAAAGTAATAAGAACTAAGGAGTAATAAAACCCAAAATGTGTAAATTTTGTTGTTAAAAAAAAGAGGGAAAAAAGTGCTCTAAAGGATACAACTGCAAGTGTGTTTAGGGGTGTTAAATATTAATGTTTTTTGTTGGATCATTGAACACAACTGTTTGCAGTCTCTCTGTTTGAATGTTCACTTTGTATGCTTTGATACTGTGACTTGAGCAACTATCTCTAAGACGATAATGTGTAATCTATTAACTGGTGATTTCTTACTGGTTTGTTTTTATTTTTGTTTTGTTTTGTTTTGTTTTGTTTTGTTTTGTTTTGTTTTTTGTAGTTCTGTATTACTTTTACCCTTACACCGCTTTGTTTTGTTTTGTTTTTTCTTTTTTTCCTTTTAAATAAAATTTAAAAAAACTCTATGGAAAGATGGCAAATATGCTTGAAAGAAACTAAGGATAGATTATCCAAATTGGAGGACAATTTTGCAGTATGGGAGTATGAAAGGGAAAACTTTTTAAAAATAACAAAGAAACAAGCAGTAACAATGCAAAGGCTAGAATATGACAAGAGGATCTACAACTTGAGAATAAAGAATGTGAATGAAGAAGCAGGGGTACAAACAAAGAAACTACAAAGGTTATTCACAGAAATAGTTAAGGAAAACTTCCCAAACATAGGAAAAGGAAATGATATTCTGATACATGAGGCATACAGAATTCCAGCCACTTACAACCAAAACAGCTACACCCAGGCATATAATAATCAAGATCCCAGAAATTCAATATAAGAACAGAATATTAAAAAGCTGTTAGAGACAAGAAACAGATAACCTACAGAGGAAGGCCCATCAGAATAATGGCAGACTTCTTGACACAAACCATCAAGTCCAGAAGATCCTGGAGTGAAATATTCTAAGTCCTGAAAGAAAATAACCTCCAGCCCAGATTGGTATACCCTGCTAAACCGTCTCTAGAAATTAATGGATAAACAAGATGCTTCCAAGACAAAGAGGAACTTGGGAAATTTGCAACCATCAATTCAACTCTATAGAGAATACTGCAGGGCATTCTAGAGAGAGAGAAAAGTACTAGGATTCCAGGAACAGTGGCAGAGAGGCCTCAATGAATGGAGCAGAAAACAGAATGAAGAAGATAAGCAGATAACTGCTGGCAAAAAAAGAGCATAACAGAAATGAGGCAGAGAAGATTTTATTCAAAACTGATAATGATTGATAATATCAAGTCTGAGAGTATAGATCAACTACACTAAGGATGACAAGACTTAACAATACACATTCTGGTTTGATAACTGCCAGTTTTTGAAGTTCTATACTGTATACAAAGTTGTGTTTTTATTAATGTTATGTACTGATATATTCAATTATACTATGTCTGATGATATAGCCAATTCTATTGGAGATAACAAGAGACAACACAGGAACTATGGTAGAATGATTTGTACAATGGTCTTATATGTTTATTTCGTTTCATGCATTTATAGGAATAGGTTTTGTTTTGTCTTACTTTGTTTTGTTTCTCCCTCTTATATAGAAAGGGTAGAAATACATGTTAAGGCTCATGCATGTGTAGAACCTATGAACAGTTTATGAGAACTGATCTTATGACAAATGATGAAATGAACAGATACTTTGAAGGAAAAAGAGACACTAAAGTACCCAGTGCTGATCCTGGAGGGTCATAATGTGAAACCCAGCAATAGTACTATTCTTTGTTCAGAGTGATATTAGCCTGCTTGGGTTTATTCAATGTCAACATAATTGAAGATATGGATAACTGCATGTATGTTTAAGTGTATTGGATTGGTAACCATATTTCTAAGTTTTTGTTGGATAGTTGAACAGAACTGGTTGCAATTACACTGTTTGAATCCCTACTTTATAAGCTCCACTTTAGTATCTTGAATAAGTATTTGTAAGAAGACAATCTGTAATCATCAACTAGAGATTTCTTACTGTTGATATTTTTCTTTGAAATTATGTATTATTTCTGCCCATTTTCTGTTTTGTTTAGTCTTTCTTTAAAGAAAACTAAAAAAAAAAAGACACTACAGTACCCAGTGCTGATCATGGAGTGTCATGATGTGAAATCCAGCAATACTATTATTCTTTGTTCAGAATTATTTTAACCTGCTTTAGTTTGTTTAATTTAAGCATAAGTGAAGATACAGATAACTGCACGTATCTTTAAGTATATAGGATTGCCAACCATGTTACTACATTTTTGTTGGATAGTTGAACAGAACTGTTTGCAGTCTCGCTGTCTGAATTCCCACTTTACATGTTCCATTTTTGTATCTTGAACAACTATTTGTAAGAGGACAATATGTAAACATCTACTAGTGGTTTCTTACTGTTTATTTTTTTCTCTGAACATATTATTTCTACCTATTTTCTGTTTTGTTGTCTTTCTTTAAATAAAATTTAAAAAACATTAATTCTACAAGTACATTTTAGATATACATGATGATAACATTTATCATTTAGAATTTGTATCTGCACATCTATATATATATATATATATATATATATATATATATATATATACAGTTTTTCTGTGTGCCTGTGGTGCTCAGGATCATACCCAGGGTCTTGTGCATGCAAGAAAAGAACTCTACTACTGAACTATATCTTCTTGATATATCTTGATTCTTTTTTTCCCCCATCCTCTCTTCCTTATTTGTAAAAACTTTGTTTCCGTCTTTTCATTCTATTCCCTTCTTTCTTTTCCCTTCCTTCCTGCCCCCCCCTCCAAGATCTTATTCTTGTTTGAACATTTTTTTCCTATTTCCAAATTTCTATTATATATTTTGGTACTTAGTTACCTTTTGGCTTCTCACACCACAGAAACCAGGAAATATTTGAATATATATGATTTATTTTATTTAAGAGTATGGTCTCAAGTGCATCCATTTACCTAGAAATGTCTCAGGTCTATCCTTCTTTTTGTTAGAGTAGTACTTCATTGTATAAAAAGAAATCTTTATCCATTCACCAGTTGATGAATATTTGGGCTGTTTCCAAGATTATAGCTATTACAAATCATGCCGCTATAAACATGGGTGTGCATACATCACTGCAGTAAGATGCTTTCAATTTTGGGTGAAAGATATCAAAAAGGGGAATAGCTGGATCAAGAAGTGGAACCTCTAGCTTTAGGTTTTAACCATGCTGATTTCTATAG